AATATTAAATGCTTTCAGAAAATGAGGGGGAAAGTGCACTAGCTTTTAAAGTGAAGCAGCATGTATCGTTTCTCCTTCCATTGGCTGTTTATCCAACATCAATACAACACTTTAGGAGCCAAATTGCTAAACAAGCTGCCAATTAGGCTTGCAGTCAGCTGGATAGATTAGTGGCTAAGAGAGGCAGATACAAGATTTTCATCTCTTGAGCCAATTACGCAAGTGAATTACCATCCACAATGCTCCTTGGAAGATCTGAGGTAGAAAGACTGACTCTGCTGTGATAGACGTAAGTGAGATCCAGGGTAGGGGGTAAGGGTTAGCAGGCCATGTATTGCAAAAATTACCCAAGCAAAAAGAGATCCTTCTAGGAAAGGATTTAAAGGATTTAAGGCTGCTGGGAACGATAGAGGAGGAAATAATAGTTGTGGTATGCTCTGCAAAGGCATTGCTGTTCTGCTCACAAGTCTTAATCATATAAAAGAAAGATGAAAGGCCAAGACTATATTTTTGTATAGTGTCATTTTCTCAGAACGTTTAAAAACCCATTTTCTTAACATCAAAAACAGTTTGGTGGCCAGAGATGAAATTACTTCAGTATGCCTTCATTTGTTTCTTACAACTGAGGGGGGAACATTTTCTTAAATAAGGGTTATTTAAGAGATTGAAGCTACCTATATTCTGATTTTATTCGCCCCAGTGTAAACCAAACATGGTTGATGTTTGTCTTATCCAGCAACTGGACCATACAAATAAATATTGTCACAATAGTGGTTTATGGGGTCACAGTTCCTTTATTATTCTATAATAAATGATAACTTAATTGCTGAGCTTTTAATTTTTTTAGAAGCATTTTGCAAATAGAATGGATCTGTCAGATCAAAACTGTGCAGAGGCTCATTTGTTTCCCGCTGAAGATGATGTACACTGGTGTAACGTTGTTTCTTAGATATGAAGCAAATTTAAAATCTGAACTTTTGCAAGCTGTTGTATCCAAAAATGATTAAACAGATGTGGAGCCTGCAGCAGCATTAGACCTCTGATCTGATTTTAGCTTACAGATGGAATTAAATTAATTCATGGCAATCACTGTAAAATCAAGGGTATGGCACTGAATGCTAGTGTAGTGTTTAACCAGGACATACCTGTCTCAACAGCTGTTAAGAAAAAATTACATACCTTTATTTTTCATTGAAACCTGCCTTTAATGCCATCATAAATATCATACCAAAATTAAACAAATGTGATGAGTTTTTTGTTTTCCCCTTCCCAGTTTTGCCTCTTTCTATTTGTAGGTTCCATATTCCGTGTATGTAAGTTCATATCATAATATGTGTAGACTTTGAAGCGAGTCTATCCACATACACAAAGTTTGAGGATTGGCCTTTTTTTTTTTGTTTCAATCGGCAGTATTGCAAAGAGAAAGAACATAATTGAGGGTATATTGCAGTGCTGTCTTTTCAAGCAAGGTACTGTTCCTCAGTGTTTGCTCCTCACTTGTGTAATGGCAGCCACGTCTACATGGAGAATGCTCATCTGGTAGATCAGGACCACAGTTACCAAGGTTGCTAAAAACATTTTCAGTCCGTTGATAGACAAGGCTCTGCACAGGAGATTCCTACAAATTATTGGGACAGAGATTTCCTCCTAACTCCCGAAACCCCACAGAGCCTCATACAGCAGTAAACTTAGAAACATGTATCCCTGCTTCTTTTTCTTAATCTGATTTTACATAGTTATTTTTTTGGGATGGCGCAGTGGGTTGATTTTGCTCTTGCTCCTGGGTGGGTCGAGACCGAACACGTCCCAGAGGTAGCGCAGCCGTTTTCAAGGCCAGTGTGCTTGGACCATTCTCTCTAACAGGCCCTACTGGCTAGTCCAAGAAGTGCCACAGGCATGAATTAAAAACTGAACTTGAAGATGAATATTGCAAGGACAATTACTGCTTTTAATTAGAAAATAAAAGCCCAAAGCACAGGAATGGGGGTCAGGGGAATAGAGCAGAGTGTAGCATGATTTTTAAGAGCTCCGTCCTGTCATGCAGTCAATCAGCAATGCAAATTTTTTTTTTTTTCCAATTGCTGAGTGGTCGTGGAATGGAGGGAGAGGGCAATACCACTGTCCATATTCTTCTGACTCAATTAAAATGTGTTGCATATCAGATAAATTTTTCAAATGATGGGTGAAAATTGCAGGAATATTAAAGACAGGTATAGGTAGTATTTATATAAAAACTGACTATATTGCAAAAGAATGACCTGCATATATTAAATATTTTTCACAATTAAAATAAAAACTATCCATATGCACCTCATTTGCAAGGAGGAGTAATTAGTCAATTAGTAATATAGGCAAGCTGGGTGAGTTTTTGGTTTTCCCTTATTCTTGCTGAAAACCTCCAAACACATTACCCTTTGGACAGTGTATGCTGTTTTATTATTTGCCCAGAAGTGAGTTGTGAAGCCAGGCTTATGGTGGTTTCTGCTCTTCTTTTCTTTTTTTTTTTTTTTAAAAAAAAATCTGGTGACATATAAGAATAAAACAGAACTCTACAGGGGTGGTTTAAGTCTTCTAACAGGAGTTAGAAGAGCATGCACAGTGATGGGAAAATAGTTATAGTATACTTTCTAGAAGTATTTATATGTCTTTAAAAACAAAACAAAAAAAAGTATTCTGATTATTCTGTCAGTCACAGAAAAAAAATGCTGAGCTACTTAAAAAAAAATACAAAAAATTGAAACATCAATTTATGAAATAACACGTCAGGGGACAGATTGTTCTTTCATATATCTTTTTTGTGAGGTTGCTCTTGGCTGTCTTGAAAATTGAAATTCATATAGAAAGGTACATCTGTTATAGAAAAAGGTCTGTGGGTTTTTCCCCCAAATGGACTAAAAAAAAAAAGCTGTTTACGCTGTCTCAGGCTATGTCTTGCATAGCATTCCAGCAGCATTGCTGTCTTTGCCTAAGCACATTATGAATGGTTTAATATTTCCAATTCTTAGATGTCATGAACTATACTCTTAGCCTTGCTCTTTCCTGCTTGACAGATCTGTTGGATCTTTCTTCCCTTTTCTGTTTCCCCTTTAATTGCTCCACAGACATTCATTGGAATGATGCTCCGTTTCTTACCATCACTTGTAAAAAGTGGACCAAAACACATTTCCAGGATTTTACCTGCGAGGTTTAACGGAACTTTTGTTGAACAGTAGCCTTTTTTCTTTCCCTTTTTTTGAGCTAGAAAGTGTAACTAAGGTTGCAAAGCCTGCGTTGTGTATGCCAGGCAGTGTCAGGGACCTGTCTGCATGAAAATTACCCTTCCCGTGGGGGCCTGAAAAGAAAGGAATTCTTGGACATTGAATTTTGTTCTGGTCAGTTCAAGAGGAACCCTCTCGGGGGCTGGAGGCTGCCGACTTAAAAGCCTTATTTTAAGCCTAACATTAAGCATAGCTTCAAACCAGTATTAAAGGATGCCAGCTCTCAATGCGTTTCCCTTTCTCTTTGACTCAGGGACCGAGATACTAGAAAGGTGTCTACCTTTTATGTAGCCGGCGTTTTACTGAATATAGGCAGGTCTATAGTTGGATAATGCTGGAGTACTGTAAATTCATCATCACAATCAATCATGAGGTTTTTAATGTGCACCTCTCATTTTGAGCTTCTGTTTGTGTATGCTGTTTCCACTGTGGGACTTCGCTTTTTTGTGCGTGTGCGTGTTAAATGAGGCTTTTCAGAAGTGTGTGTTCAACTTTTCTGGTGTTCTTGTTTAGTGAGTTAATATAATGAGCCAGCTGCTTGTCAGTGGTAAATTCTTGATTGAAGACATTGTAGTGTCCAAAAACACAAAACCGTAGTCTCCTTCTACTGTATTTTTCAAGAAGTAGCAGGCCAGAACAAATAGGTAGAAAGTAAACCAGATGATATTGGAAGCTGGGCACACAATGGGTTTGGGGTTTTTTGTTCTGTTGTCAGGGGTGAGGGAGATGTTGAGCAAAGCTGAGAACAAAATCTAGCTGCCTACATGCAACTGCTTCTGTTAGTTCAAAACCTTCAGCCCTTTTTAAAATTTTTGTATGGTGTAACTTGGTAGGTTTTATTGCTGATTCTTGAAATAAGTATCATTTGTATCCCTCATGCAAGACAGTTATATATGGGAAGGCATCATCTCCAAACTCTAGCTTGAGGAGTTTGGTTGATTAGGGGAAAAAACAGCTTTGTTACTTGACATTCACTTCTTTTTTTTTTATGATACATTCATGGAAAAAAGAATCTGTTATTAAGAAAATGAATCTGTTATATTAACATTTGCAATCCTGACGATCTTTTCTGCAGTATGTGTGCAGCTTTTCTCAGAGATCTCAATAGTATGGAGAGAAAAGCGTAAACAACACTTCATGGCATTGAAAATACCAAAAGTAAACTTGGATATATCAAATCTGTCTTACAACATTCAGTAAAAAGAAACTGAGTAAAGATATTGCTGCATTTCAGAATAATAGACCACTTGTCTGTACTGTTTCTGTAACAGCTGTAATTGTTTAACCAGAAATTATTTGTTGTGTTTTATTGAAAGTGGTCTTGAGCCGTGATAAATATTGCTGAGAATGGAAAGATGGTCATGTTAATATGATGTGCCTCAGCTTAGTAACTGTATAGGACTAGAAATTCAGGTAATCTTGCCCATGTATTGGTAGACTTGTGCAGGTGATGCATGTTCTTTGAGACTGACGTAAAATCCACTGTATTGGAATATAAAAGATCTGTGACAATATTTGTCATACTTAAAAACTGAGTGAGTCTTTAAAAACATTGAAAATAAAGCATAAGACTGTGTTATTTAGAATCATATGCAGTCAGGAGGTCAACATGTGCAAAGACAGCCTGTTCTAGCAACCTATTAGATGAATTAGGAGAATAAGAAGGTTTAAAGCTTTAAGGGAGATTATCCTGCTCTTCTCCACATGGCAGGCAGTGCTGATTAATGCTGTGTGTTTCTTTAATCTCAGGGTTTGTAGGTGAAAACACCCAACCAATCCCAGAAAACAACATTGGAAACAGAATGCTTCAGAGCATGGGCTGGACCCCTGGCACGGGCCTCGGACCAGACGGCAAAGGGATACCAGAGCCAATACGAGCCATCCAGAGACCAAAAGGACTCGGACTTGGATTTAGCTGACAGAAATGCACTCTGGCTGCCCAATAAAAATAAAGTTCAAAAGTTAATTTAAAAAGACCAAAAAAAAGAAAAAAAGAAAAAAAAAAAAGGCAAACTTCTGTTATTGGTTGTGATCAGCAAATCCAGTTATTCTTCTCTCAGAGATCACTGAAGTCAATGTGCTTCACATTGGCGACACCAGCTGCAAGGTACAGCCACAGTGACAGAACCGGCATTCGAGTCTAACTTTATAATGGTGCTAAAATGTACAAAAACCTCTACTTTTTTATTTTCTGTGATCTTAAAGTTTGTATTAAGCATAAAATTCAGTATATTCACTTTTTTTCATAAAAGCTTCTGACACAGCAGGTTTTAGTATATAAGGAAAATTTTTTTTTGTAAGTATAATTTCATCTCGAGAGTCTTGAGAAGATTTGTCAAGGAAAAGGGAACTTTTTACAGCTATTGTGTTTTCCCCCTTTTCAGGCAAAGTTTCCAAAACTGGTATTTCTAGTGTTTAACAATATTTGCGGATAAGCTGTCATTTTGCCCATAAGATATACATGTTTCCCACTGGAAGGTGATATGATATGCAATTTTGTATAAGAGCATGAAAAATGGCTTTGTTGTCATAGGAATGCCATTCCAACACCATTATCTGGCAATGTATCGCTGTCTTCCACATTCAAGCTCAAAAGTAAAGCTTTTATACTTGTTTTTACATTTACAGGATTATCTCTTTTCAGCAAACATTTCTAAAAGTTAAAAGTTTATTCTGACTTTGGATTTCCCTTTGTATTAATAATCCTCAGTGTTTCCACATTTAAGAATAGTTTGAGCTTTGAACCAGGAAATTATATTTTGAAGATGACTGTCTTTCAGTGTTTGTATTCTGGGTTTTAGCATATTTTAAACAATGCAGTGTTCAACATCGTGTTATCATTTGGTTTGTGATCGTGCTGGTGCCAATGAGCCACAACCTTTAAGGATCATGAACAGAAAAAGGGCAAGGAGAAGCAGGATTAGGGTGGAGGAAAGGAAGGAAGAAGATACTTTGATGGCATCTCACAAATCTAAGCTAGCAATTTAAAATCAAGAGGGATCATTAAGTGTTTTAATCAGTATCCTAATGTATCTAATGTCAGCAGAAGCAATTTCATTAAGCACCAACCAATCAAGCTCCTAGGGTACTTATTGGTCTGCGGTATAAAACAAATTCCACTTTAAAATTAAATGATAGGGCTGAAGGAAGCTGTTGTTCAGATGGACTAAGGAGAAAATCCTGCCCCCCCTCGCCCACCCATATAGTAGCTGGCAATATTTACCCTGACTGCAGAGGGGACAGGATTTGATTCTCCAGTCTTTTTTTCTTCAAGAGGGGGATCTCTCCCTTCCTCTGCACCCAAACTGCAGAGAAAAATACTTACTTCCAGATGCTTGCAAAGATATTTCCTTAGACTAAAAAGAGCACAGCTTCCTTCACGTGACTGTGAAATACAGTGATGAATTTTAAGTGTTTTACTTTTCTTTTTCCCTGAACATCACCCATTTTTCCAGATATAGTAATACGAGGAAAAGAAGTAGCAGCAGCATTACCGCATTGAATTTGCTTAAAAGAAATGTTCATGCTTTCCACTGTGAGTACTGTCACTTTGGGAACATTGTTTCACCATACACATAGTGTAGAGTAAAAGGTTGGTGCCTGATACTGTTTTTAATGACAGCTGAATACACCTGTTCTCTGAGTTTCAGAAGAACTATTTATGGCTGTTTAAATACTTGATATGATTATGTGGTTTTGGTTTTTTTAATGATAAGAAATTTTAAACAGACTTGGGATTTATAATCAACACATATACTTTTTATTGGAAGGTTTTGGAGCGTAGCATAATGCGAGTTCGCCGCTTCAAATATATCTTGCACAACCAAACTGAATTAAATACATTCCAGATGCAAAGAATTTCAGGGCCACGTAATTGCAAAGGGCTGAGAGCCTGAAATCCTGCAGCTAGCAGAGGTGCCCACTTGTATAATCGTTATTTATAATAATGAATTAATGTGGCATGCTCCTGTTCTTTCAATGCAATGTGCTACTGAGAGCAAGTGAATTTTAAAGACCTCTTTGTATTGTACACCACAATAAGAAATTCCTTTAAATAATTTTCAACATGTGAATTGTGAAAGTGAATCTTTAACTTCCGATTGTTCTAGCTCGATTTGCAAAAGGAATATTGATTCTCTGTTAAAGTTCCATTGTGCTTTGCTTACAACGCCTACATATCTTGGGCTGGAAATTTTAAGTATGGCACATATAACACTTGTTTGAAGTATTTCTGTGCAATTTACCGTAGCAGTAGTTCCTCAAGAAATCAATCTGCAGCTCCAAAAGTACTTGAAAATGTTTCCTGTTTTAAAAAGATAAGAGGGAAATAATGGATACATGTTGAGAGAAAACCTCTTTAGCCCATTCAACTCTATTCATCCGTTCATACAGATACAGTGAAGCAGCCAATCTAGTAAACAACCGTAATGGAAGAACTATTTAGTCTCATCGGAAATCTTACAACTTTTTGGTTTAAATCAGTCTATTCGTGAGAAACTATTAGACATTGAGTAGTCAAATTGATTTTGATATAGAGATACATACACGTTGTCTGTTTTTCAGCAGGTATTCTCATAGATGCGACAGCTGACAGTCAACTTTATCTCTTAGAAGCTGTAGAACAAAGTGGTTTGTTAAAATACTTTAATGTAGTGTTTTGAGATATTTTTATGTTGCAGTTGAATTATCATTCTGACTTGCACTGTCATTTCATTTCCGTTTTTCCACATCTCACAGGAGTGGTTTTAAAGATATTCCAGTAGTGTGATTTTGCACAGTTAAAACTAGTGTTAAGAAGCAAAACAAAAATGCATTGTACACTTTTAAGTCATTGCGATGTTCATTGGCTTCGAAACAAGTCAGAGTACTTGGATTTATTTTTTTTTCTTCAGGTCTTTCCCATACTTAATTTGCAATCATACTATGATACCTGCTACAAAGCTGGCTTACATTATTTTAAAATACATGTGTAAGTATTTTCAGGTAATAATTCCTACTGGCTGTGACACTGAAGGTTTTTTGCCTACATAAATAAATATGGGATCATCTTATATCTTAAAGTTACCTTCCATCACTCAGCAGATTCTTTCCATTTAGGTGTTTGATTAATCAGTAGCTCAGTTGTTACCATAATATTCTGCCTATGCAGAATGTTTAGTGAAGAGAAGAGACATTACGTATTATCAGCATTGTGTTTTGCCACGTGTTCCATGGTGTCTCAAAGTTCTGTGAATTGAGCCATTAACTGTTAATAAAAGAAACCCATGAGCAGTATCTTATTTTTAAATAAATATTTGTAGAAGTCAGAGAAGCATTATCAATATGCTCACTTTAACAAGTTTGTCCCTGCATTTGTCTTTCTGCAATTAGGTCAATAATGGGTGTAGAATGGCAGTAAATAGCTAAATAATATGTATAGAACGCTTTGCTTTAATAACACAAATGCAAGACAAAATAAAATAAATAGACTCCATTCGTCATGGGGTATGTATGTTCTTTTCTTTAAACTGCCCTTTTCAATAGCATTGTTATTACCAGGTGAGTACAAAAACACACAGTTTCTGAAAATATAATTAAGGTTGCTAATATCTTGTAGCAAGCAGATGCATATTATGCTAAAGCTATTATACTACATATAGTATTATATGTACCTTTTTACTAGTACTTCTGTTCTAGGTTATTATTATCAGCTGAAAAGGTTACACCACGACATCAGGAAATGCCTTAAGATGTTTGCAGTACTTTTGTTATCGTATCTTCTAAGACTTTTAAATACAAGTTCTCTTCACTCTTTAAGTATGTGTATCCTTTGATAACCGTGACAGGACCTTGCGCTTTCTCTTCAAACAGTTCTCCAAAACCGTTCCTCCAAGGAGAACTCGCACAACCTTTGTTTTACCTTCCCTCTCCCCCCGCTCCCAGGGCAGGTTCAGTAAAGGTGTATCAGAAATGGGGATCCCTTCCCTCTAACTCTAAAGTCAAGAGACCTTCTAATTAGACTTTCATCCCTAGCAGAGTTTTCAGGAGCCGTGACATAGTTTTCCCACAGCAATTGCATAACTGAGATACCCACAACAGTGTCCCATACCTAAGGGCAGTGTGTGTGTTCAGTCTGAAAAACAGAATTATTTATCAGCCTGTAGTCCAGCTGTAAAGCCAATGTTAAAATGTTAAAAGAGAAAATGGCATTTTTAAATATTGTTATATGGTTATATGGTTGAATTCTCCCTGGAAAGGTTTTATTGTGGTCACATGGGGTTTTTTTACAAGCACGGTATTTAGGATTGGGATTATTTATATATATTTTTTTTTAATGACCTCTCTGTAGCGGAAAAAGTCTTGGTGGAGGTGCAGCAATTTCAGCAGGGATGTTCTGCTTTCCTCAAGTGGGTTTTTTTGCTAAAAAAATATGTAAAAACTTTGCCAGCGTAGATTGATATAAGCTGTATCTACTAAGCTATAAGAGAGTTTGTCCAGTAAAAGCGGCAACAACCTTTTTAATGTAAGTGTGCTTTAAGTTACTGTGGAAAACTTTACAAAAGCAACAAAAGTTTAATGATTAACTGTCTAGTGGAAATGTTTGGGCTTCCTATGATTATCTTCTCCTGTCGTACAGCAAACCAAATATTGGAGGCATTTTGACCGTGATGATATATTGCTTGTATTCGAATATTCAACCTTTAAGTAAAAGACTGAAAATCACTGAGATTCTGTAATCTTGATCTCCTGCATCTATGAGAACTGTGGTTATTAACAGATATGTAAAGTGGTTTGAAATAATACAAAATATTCCATCTATAGAAAATTATTATTTTGGCCTGACTGCTCATGGCATATTGCTATGATGAATTTAAGTATTGGGGAGTCTGACTTCTGAAACTGAATAAAAGTCTCTGAGGAATGTATGTTTCATTGTAAT